ACATAGTTATGGCACGGCCTGTATTAAAATAATTTAGGCCGATGGTCTTTAAAATGGATCAATATAATATAGGGAACCCCATTAATGAAATTGATTATTAATCAATTTTTTATAGTAGTGGTCCTCTATACGGTTACGGTACGATTCCCCGAAGGCTATTTCCCGACTCGACATCATAAGGGGTGATAATTTACTAAAAATGTATACCTGCACTTATCAAACACTAACCCTGATGTCGGGTAAATAGTCTGTCGAAGAACAAACTTTCTGGAATTGAGTGACAACCCCCTCTATACTATATTTAAATTATTAATTTTGGCCAGAAATTTGATTTTTTCATACATGTGCTAGACTTTCTTGTTGATTTATGTTACCCAACCTACATTACCGAATTTATAAAAAAACTGATCATAACCAAATTCAATCGAATCAATCAAGAGTAGATACTGTCATTCTTTATAGTGGTTGCACCCAGAAAAGTTACCAAGTTGGGATCGGATAATCGCCCGGATGATCACGCAACTTCAATTAAACGCAAAGATTTTGTCGAATAAAAAAATTAAAATACATATATATATTATACATATTGGATTTTTAATTAAACATAGCAATTTTTTATAACGACCATTTTTTTATAGTCAGTTCTCTATAACAAAAGTTGAGACTTTTTTTCACTTTTTCTCTGCATATCGGTGAATTGATAATTCTAGTCAAATTTGCAAATCATTTGGCCAGATCTAGAACAAAACAACTTTAAATGTGGTCAAATAATATGCATGTTTGACCAGAATTATGAACGATAGATTCTATTAATCAGGTGATGCAGATCCGTTTTTCTTTCGATTGATAATTTAAACCTGAATTATAAAGCTGGCCAGAATTATGAAAATTGCACTGCACAGCCTCAAAAAATGCCTGCAAGTGTTCCATCTCTACCTCTGACAATATTAATGATGTCAATGTCTGACTGCTATATAGTTGATTAGCTAGCATCACTTAGTTTCAATGAATCTGTTCCAAAATTCTAAGGTTTTGCAAAATCTATAAAACATATCTGTATTTAGAAATGATCGACAAGTTCTTTTGATTAAGTCTTTGATGATCAGTTATTATCATTTTATCAGCCTGATAAAAAATTTGATAAAAAAAGATGAAAATTACCAAATATTTAGCATTGAGGCCTTTAAATTTATATTGGGACACTAATTTTTGTGCCTAAAAAACTTATTTTCATTATCTTTTATTATAGCATCTTCAATTTTACAGATGTATATGCTTATTTAAGGGTTTTTAAAAAATATTGAATGATGAATAAGTCATGCAACATTTGTTCCTAATATCTATCTTTTAAAGTATTGTTCAGGATACTACACAAAGTTACAATAACAGATTACCCAATCATATGTTGAGAATTGTACATATATATTTGAGTTGCCTATAAACTATATACTATGTACTTCATACTCTGTTCCTGGTATACATATAATATGCATGATAATCAGCAAACTGACAAATTTTAGTATTATGCTAGTGATTATGTAATGTGATTCAGACTTTGAATCTGACTATAGAGGGTAGTATTAGCAAATTTGGGGATGAAAATAAAATTCTCTATATTTAACCCTACTCAATTTTGTTAAATCATTTTGGTCATGTATATATCAGTTTTTTGCTATTTTTGGCTTCCAGTGTTTAGGTCTTTCCAGTTTTTTTTATATGCTTATTTATTCTTTGATGTAAGATCGTTAAAATAATTTTCTTATAATTATATAAAAGGAATGATTTACACTTACCATTTTTTATGATAATATGGTACTAGATATTATTGTTAGATCGTTCTAGTATAGTTCGTTCTGGTACAGTTTGTTTATTCTAGTACTAAGTACTAGATGTAAAACTTCGCTTGCTGTATATGTTAGATGTAATAGATTTAGGTTTGTAAATTTTTTTTTTATTTGTTTTTTTGTATTTTAAATAAGATTTGTTGAATTTTTTGATTTTTTGATTTTTTGAATCATATTTTTTGTCAGATAAATGATTTGATAATCGTTAATCATTGAAAACCAAAAAGAAAATTCATGATGAAAGTATTTAAATTTTTTTTTTGTGTATATTTAATCAATGCTATGGGTGTTGTATTAATTTTTTTTTTTTTTTTTTTTTAAACTATTGTAAAAAATTAATTAGAAAATAAAAACAATTATTTTTTATTTGTTTTTAAGTTAAATATTATACTTGACAGATGCAGCAGAAAGTGAAATAGATAAATACAACCAGCTGCTCAATCGGATAACCACGATAAAAGAGTTCACCTTAAAAAAAAAAAAAAAAATTTGAAAAATTAAAAAATTCGAAATATTTAAAATATTTTGCAACAAACAGATTTTGCAAAAAAAATCTTTAATTTCTTTAATAATTAAATAATTTATTTAAAAATAATGCATTTTTTTTTTATTAAAAGTAGTTTTTTTACTTGACTGGTGTTAACCTTGTATTTGTAATTGCATATTTTAGAGCTGTGTTGGTATTAAGATTCATATACATGTTTAAATAAATAGTTTCTATGTGCCATTTGCATTGGCATTATTATTTTATCTAAGCCTTATCAAAAGCTTCATGCTTATTATATGCTTGTTAAGGTATAATTGCAGTGTTTATTTTTTGTATAAATAATATTTTTTTTTAGAATTTGAATTAAAAAAATAAAAAATAACCATGTCTGGTACTATTACTGTGCTTTGTTATATAACTGACTATTAGTTAAAACCTGGCAAAAATATTTGTATAGTTGAAGCTTTGGATTTTATGAAATCTTGAAGTTTATATTCATCTTTAAAAATCTTTTTAAAAGTTTTTATTTTCAGAATGCAACCAGAGAATTTAGTCTTCCTTTATTTGAAAAAGAAGATGTGATTCTCATGACTAAAAAATTTTATATGCTTCAATATATAAATGATAAAAATGAAAAACTTCCTTCTTTGAAAGTAAGTCAGTATTTTCTATTTTTGATAATATGTATTAATAATAGCATGGGTCTTTTTTGTTTAACATATTGTTTGTTGTGTTCATTGAATAATATGTAATTTTAAATTATGTTTTTAATTGACTTTATAATTTAAATTATACAATACTATGTACAGTATAATGTCTTTGCATTTACTAATTTCCTCTGATGTTTATTTTTGACTAATCACAATGCAATATTAGGTGTAATGTGACAATTAAAGCAACAACTCCTCTTTTTTGTGAAGTTTCATTTGTCTCAAAAATTTGACAAATAAATCACTTTTAATGCACTGATAAAAAAGATTTATTGCAAGATTTTATTATAATATGCTCAATAATACTGATGACAAATCCTGACTATAATGCTGTATTGTTTGTTTCCCAAGTATTTTAGACCATGCAGTATCTGCAATATATATGTAATTATACTAACTGATAATAATGTATATTTTTTCTATGTTGACTATAAATATGCAAATATGTGTATAGATCATTTTAAGTGACCTTGTGCATTTTGATCTAGATCTGAAAGACCTTCCTAAATTTTCTGCTTTAAAATGACTGTGCTGGTACAAGAACTTCCGAATATCAATAATAAAAATGTGTTTATGACAGTCTTGATGATTGACTATATAGACCAGGATCCAAATGATACTAAAATTATCTGTCATTACCTAGTGTCTGCACCCCATTTGGTTCACATTACTTAAACTATAAAAAAAAATTTACTTTTCTATATTAATAGCAAATTCATTATGCATAATAATAAAAATTATATATTCGTTAAGTGTATAACTTTTTTTGGTTACCAGAAAGTGCTAATGGGTATGGATAGCTCTTCAAAAATTCTCTGAGAACCTGATGTTTCTGATAAGTCAAATAAAACTGTTAGCTTTGCTGAAACTATAGAAGCAAGATTTAATAGTAAAGTTAAAAACAAAAGATCATTTATAATTAATCCATCTCAAACTAACTCTTTATTAGTAGCCAATACTTTGTCTATAACTAACTCTTCATTAGTAGCCAATGCTTTGTCTGTGATTAACTCTTCATTAGTAACTGAACTGCCTTTAGCGATTAGATCTTCATCAGTAATTGAATCTTCATTCATGACTAAATCTTCATTTGTGAATAAGCCATCTACACAAACTAGGAGCAAATACAAATTATCAGACTTAGCAAAAGAGATGTTAACTGATTTGACCGAATTAGATCAATTTAGTGAATATGTAAGTGTGTTATGTATACTATTACTTGCTGCAAATGTTACCACTTTTTTGAAGCACAATTAGAGTGTGACTTATATATATATTTTTAGTATTAATTATATATAAACTAAATAAATCTTTTACATTACAAGTTTTTTTTTATAAATTTTATATAGTTCAATAAGGTTATGTAAATATTGTATAAATTTTTATATAGATCTACAAATCCAATATAAGTTTATGTAGTAAGGATTTTTACATATAAACTACATCTTTTTTTTTATATATAATCTTGTTTATTGTTTATAAAAATGTAAATCTATATAGATTTTATTTATATATTTGTAAAAATACTTTGATTTACTTCAACTATTTTTCAAAAGTACTAAAGCAATCACTAATTGATGCATTAAATAAAAATTCAAAAACCTTTTCAGACCTTCTTTTAAATCTAATCTTAGCTTTAATATTCAAGTTGGAATTTTTTGCTTTACATAATTTTACATAATTAATTCTACATAAAAATGTCTTTATGATTTAAGTACTTCATTTCTATCTTTATTATTAGTTATTTATTAGGATTATAATAATGAAAAAATTAAATATAAATACTAATTGTTTATTTATTTATTGATTAGAAAAAAACAAATAATTGCAATAAATCTTAGATTTAATATTAATAACATATAACCAGTTTGATTTCTGTGCATTATAATGTATTTCCTAATCAAGATAATTGACTCAAAATTCTTTGACATTATGTAGTATATATAACATGCATAGATATATATAATCTATTTGCCTTATATTATTTTTTATGATCATGTCTTGTCACTTTAAGAAATATCAAGTTATACTTCCTGTTAAGAATCTTAGAATTATGCTTTGATCTTTTGTTTGTTACTACATGGATTCCTATTATATTAACAATTATTGACTGTGACCTATTATGATTACTAAATAAATAAATAAATTATGTTTTTCGATTATTTATTACCTATTATGTTAATATACATAAATGATTCCCTTTGTTAGGTATTTCTACTTAACATTGTCACTATTTATCAGAAAAGTTATTAACTTATGACATATTAACAAATATAATAAATATCACTGTGATCTTTATATCTTATCTAAATCATACAATCATCTTTCTTTTGATTTATTCTGTTAATATTTAACCAAAAAAAACATTTTGCTTTAAATATGTTGTTTCACATCTATACAATTTTTGAAATTGAATCTTTAAAATATAATAAACAAATAATTGATCTTATCTCTCTTAATGATAATAACTTACAACTAATTGATCGAAATAATTTTTCATCTAATAATCAATCCTGTTTGATGTTAACATGGTTATGTTTGCAAAAATGTAAGCAATAGTAAATAAATTCGAAAATACTATTTTAATCCAATTTTTGTGTGTTTTTTGTACTATCTGCTCCAAACTCATATATCTAGAAAAATCATTGTGGATTCAATAAGATCCCAATTTTTTATATCTACTATCAAATTATATTATATTAGTTACAAATTCTAATCTACCAATAAATCAAAATGCAATATGTTCACTGTATAAATCAAATACAACCTGCAATTATTCTTCATATCTCTTTTTAATTCCACCAGAAATTAATGCTGTATCCTTGGGAAAACATAAACACCTATCTCTTATCTTTTTACATTGTTTTCTAGGTCATACACCCAGAGCAATTCATTCTCTGAATACAGAACCTTAGTAGGTACTATGAATTATTTACAAAATTTACATTTGCTGAGTCTATATTCAGGTTTATTAGATGCTTATTTGGATTCTCCAGCTTTTAATTGATCTATAATTCCATCTTGGCTCAATAATTCTTTAATAAATGCTGCTAACTGGCTTAAAAAAAATAACTCTTATTTGTGTCAATATTCATTAATGCTCCCATCACTTTCAAATACAAATCTTTATTTTTCTTTAGCCATCCACTTATCTATTGATGAAAATACTCACCCTTTTTAATATGGTGATATAATAATTCCTCATCAAAATTTTTCTTCTAATACTCATAATGAAGACATGCATTATTATCATCTAATAGCCAGTTTCATTACAAATAATAATATAAATAAAATTCCTATTTTTTTAAATAATTCTAATCTTGAACCATTGTTCTTTCAAGATTTATACTCTGATGGTCATAGACATTATTATGAGATATGAACTCAGTTGAAAAATATATAGATATGCTATGATATTTTGGAAAATATGTAAAACATCATTTGCTTTTCAAAGATCTTTGATTTCACTTGTATTATCACTGGCTAGCATGGGCATATTTTCAATTAGAAAAATTTAGAAATTTTCAGAATACACAGTAACTAATTCAACAATCTACTACTAATCGAACTTATTGCTTACTTATAGCTATTGATATTATCGAATGCAGCACTTATACTAATGGCTGGTATTATAATGAAGTAAAAACTTCTCTAATTTTTATATTTGTTTGCATTGGAGACAGTTACTTCCAGAAAAAAAATATGCATTTAAGCACAATGATTTGTGAACTTAATCTCCCTATGTTATTTATTATGTTATCAATAGCTAAAGGTTCATGAACTCATCTCCATAATATACTTATTAATACTGATAATCATAACCCACTACAGACCAACAGACCTTTACATATAACACTACATTTTATTCACAAATTACAAAATCTTAAGAAGTTCATTTAAAAAGATCCTAACATTAGTGAATAGGGAACATATTTACATTTTTTTGACAGAATAGAATTTCAGAATCGTGGTGCAGCACATCTACATGGTATTTATTGGACCACTTCAAATATATCAGAAATGGTTAATTTAAATTCAATTTGATCCATCCTGCCAGATCCTAATTTAGAACCCGAACTTTACTAAAAAGTTCATGCTTTCCAGATATATACTTGTAATTCTAAATGCAGAGGGCCCTGTCCTATCAGACTCAAGATATAAAAAAGGTTTTTTTTGCCTAATTTCTGATTGCACATTCTATGATCCAAGCAATTATAGATACACTTATTAATGCATAACATCTGAAGACCAGTAGGTAATCCCATATTATGCACCTATATTAATAATATGGAATGCTCATATGAATGCCCAATATATTACAAATAAAGGGCTCACTTGTTATGTAACAAAATATATAAATAAATTAGAACCATCTCATTTATTTAACATTTGTAAACAAATACATTATTGAGAATATATTTATGCTCAATGAATGGGTACAATGAAACTAATATTCTTACTACTTGACAAACATATCATAAATTTATTGATACAAGTTCAATACCTTATAACAGATTCTCTAAATGTTCGATTCAAAGCAATTCTTCTATTGCATATGATCAATTCTTTTGATGATAACCCTTACTGAACTGACAAAATTGAAAAATACTTTGTCAGACCACAACATCCTATATTCAATAATATGCTATATAGAACTTATTTCGAATTATATTATATTAAATCAACCCAACCTAACATTGAAAAAACAATATATCGAGATAGTCTTGAAAATTTTGTTGTTGAACATACTAATCGTATACTCATCTACATTTCTAAGATTAGAACATAGTAAATTATTCTTTTATCAACAACTTTTACTAAGACTTTCATTCAGATCAAAAGAAGAGTTATATAATAATTACCAAAATTACAGAGACCATTTCATAGATCAATTTCCTGAATTGTTTTGATTAATTCAAAAACAAAATCATGAATACATACTTAAACAAACAACTTATGTCTTAGAATATTTTACATCTCTTATTAAAGTAATAACTTCTTTATTACATTCGATCTTAATGATGAATATTCTTGATGTGATTAAAATACAACTAAATTCCATAAAATTATTATCATGAGTAATAACTACTAACTCAATGATCAACTTATCACCAAATCAGTATTACTGCCTCCAAATCATAACTAATTATCTAGGTCTGTGAGATGGATCACATTATCCTTTTTTTTTTATTACAGAATCAGCAGTATTAATATTAAGAGTTTTACATATTTTTGACCATAACTTTTGAAATATTGGACCAAATTGGATAAAACAACCGCCATTAGATTCAGCTCACTGAGACGATTCTAATAAGCACAAGATCATGTGATTCTGATCACAGAATCATGAGATCAGAATGATTTTGATGAAAAGTACTAATTATAATACATGTAACTTGATTCTGATTAGCTCAAATTACTGAACTGGAAATCTATTATTTCTATTATTTCTAGTAGATCTATCATTTCTATTAGATCTATCATTTCTATCAGATCTATTAGTTTTATCAGATCTATTAGTTCTATCATATCTATTATATATATTATATCTATTATATCTATTAATTCTTATTATTATAAATAGCATTTATTAACAATAGAATAGTCTTTATTGTAATAATTTATACATATAAAATATCTATAAAAGCATTCCTTCAAGAAAGTTAAGTGTCTCCATACACTTCAATAGGAAGTGTCTTTATACATTTCATAGTGAATAAACTGAATACAATATTTAGTATCTTCATATATTATCTATTATTGCTTCTGTCTTAAAATCTCAAATCACTCTGTATTTTGTTAAGTCTTGTGTAGACTTTTGTATAGAACCTGTCAAGTTATAGTCATTATACTATAG